CCCTTGTACTTAATTCGTAGGTGGTCTTTCTTTAGGGGGAAACACTTAACAGGTATGGGGGTCGTCCAACACTGCCGCACATTTTATAGAATTTTCATTTTACTTTCGAAAAACTGGTTTCTTGCCCCCCACGTGTGATTTCTACCTCCCATTCAATAGCCACGCATTCTGGAAAAGTAGGAAAGGACGAGGAATTTGGCGAGTAAAGGAGGAGAGATGGGAGAATTCATGGAACTATTTTTGCATTTTATCCTCAATTTGGCGCAAGTTTTATTTTAGCATTAAAAAACGTGTATGCTAATGATTTAATGCTGGGACTCTGGATACAAGGCATTCTACATTCTATTTCAAGGTACTCTATTAGTAAGCGCGAAAAAAGTGTCTGAGATGACAATAAACAGATTTGATATTAACAATATTTAGGATCCTGGACACAAACATTCTGTTTGAAGGTACTCTATAAGTATGCCCAAAACAAAAAGAGTAAATTGGATTCTCGCAACATCTGAAATTCTGGGTACAAAGTTTGAAGGTACTCTGTCAGTATGTACAAAACAAGAAGTGAATAGGTTCATGTTCACTATTCGAATGATTGAATGAATAACAAATTTGGTACAATTTGAATCTACAACAAGAGATTCTAAAAATAGTTGTATCTTTAAATCATCTGTACCATACAAACAGAGACAGATAATATAATTAGTTACAAGTGCTAAAATGTATGACCAATTACCTGGACCCTCTTTCATCCACCTTGAATGTACTACCAAAGAATGTATTGCCGCCTTGAATGTATTACCATTTCTTTGGTATTACTATGCAGTATGAATGAACTTCGAATTGGAGCATAGGGCTCCTATCATAGCTTTCCATCTCACTTTGTTTGTGGTCAGATATTTTGCCTCTCTCCTCGTCTTTCGTATTGTTTTCAATTCATTTACAAACGTCATGTGTCAAGTATTTTTAGGTCTTCCTCTTTTTCTATTGCCTAGAGGGTTCCAATCAAAAACTTGTTTTACTTAAAAATTTTCAGGTTAACTTGGAACATGACCAAACCATTCTCATTTACATTTTTCAATTGCCAGATCAATCGGTTTCTGTATTGCTTATCAATAGTTTTCTGGATTAAACATTTTATGAAACCACTTGATACGCAAGATAATTCTTAAAACACTTGTTAATAAATACTTGAAGATTTTTCATGTTATTTTTAATGCAGTGCCATTCATACAGTAGGACAAATTTATCATTAGTACTGAAAACTCTCATTTTTGTTGAATTTGTTAAGTTTTTGTTGAGAATAGCATAACTGCATCGGGCTTTGTTTAATCTATTTAGTATATCTTCATCAGTCCTTCCTTTGGCGTTAATTATGTTTCCAATATACGTAAAACTGCTTATCCACTCTAGTTTATTATTTTCTAAGAATATATCATTTAATTGTTTAGGATTAATTTTCAAAATTTTAGTTTTATTTTGGTTGATAATAAGCCCCATGTTCATTGCCTCTATGTTTAAATTGTTTGTGTTTGTTTGCATGTCTTGAAGGGTGGTGGTCAATATACATAAGTCATTTGCCAAATCAAGATCAGATCTCCTGTCAAACACTACACTTAAACGCTAAACATAATTTTCAATAAATTTTAGATTAACTTTTTTTATTACTTATTATAAAATAAACTAGTATAGGTGAAAATTTCAGAAATCCTTCTGATATATGCATTAATTGATGTAAAATTAAAATTGTATCATTAATTCGATTATAATTATTTGTAACATAAAATTATTTCTTCTTTTTCATAGTGCTACAGCCGACTGTGTGCTTTGGCATACTGCACTATGTTCTTAACATTCCTATTCTTAGCTTTAGATTTCCAGTCGGTAATTTTCATTACAGTTGGAACATTTGTCTTTTGTTACATCATATTACCATCTCTTTTTGGGTCGTTCTCAAGGCTAATGGAGGTTATTAGTTTCTAATTCAAGATTTTTCTGTCTCAATTTTTCTTCATTATTCCTTTATGATCCAGCCACAATATCAAATTGTTTAAACAAAATGTTTTCAGGCAAATGTTTCTTGCATTAACTCCTCACACTAGTAACTTTTTGAAATAAATGATTGCTATTTTTTTATTTTATAAAAAAAGGCAAAAAAAAAGTGAAATTAAACTAGTAATATTTCTGTCAAGCTTTTTTTTTNTTTTTTTTTTTTTTTTTTTTTTTTTTTTTTTTTTTTTTTTTTTTTTTTTCTGAGGGAGAAAAGTTTTGAGCTCCATCCTTGGTGGGATAAAAATAAATAATTCCTGGAGAAGACGAAATAATACTGAACTGTATATAATCTACAGAGAGCCAGATTTTGTGAAATTCATAAAAATAAATCGAATGAACTGGGCAGCTCACATTTTCAGAAGGAATGATGACTCAAATTTAAAGAANAGGGATAATGCATTTCATAAAAATTTGGCGACCCCCAAAAAACTTCTGGCGACCCCCACAGGGGTCGCAACCCCTAGTTTGCGCACCACTGCTCTAAAGGATAAAAACTGGCGAACAAGTGTCAAAAGTAGAGAGAAGTGGATTCGAATTCATAGGAAGGCACTGGCCCACCCTGGGCCGTCTAGCCAAATATGATGATGATGATTCCTGTCAAGTGAAGATTAATTGAAAAGAAAAACAACCAAACGGTTAATTTGTTTACAATATGATATTAGTATGTATATATTACTTTTTATAGGTTTCATTTTAAATTATTTTAAAACATATTGATCAAACTTGTTCACAGTCTATCAGTCTAAAATCATGTTATTACTACAAGATTAATTGTTTTCGCAGGAAAAAAGCAATAGAAATTAAACTATTTGAAAGCAAATAATATTAAGCTTTTTCATTTCTAATTTAAACAAACTCATATCAAAATCGGTCTATAAAATGAGACAGCAATAAATGCTTAGTTAAAAGTTTCCTATTTTAAAATTGAGCAAATAAAATACACATGTGATGATTACACATTTACGTATCTTCCTTTACAATTGCACTCCAGGGGAATTTAAAATTTCAAAACACTTGATTTAAGTTCGTCACCTTCTAATGTTAAAATATAAAATTTTATTGCCATTTTGCATCGGAAGTGTATTAAAAGAAAAATTTTAAATTTTGAAGAGTTTGAATTTATTTCTGTATAATAGTTTGTAATCTAAGTCTGTAACCCTCAAAGTAGCCTGTAACCCACATTTGTAGTTGGTAACCCACAAAGAATGATTGAAAACGATTCTTAAACTATGAATCTATGGCATTTTAAAATCGTTTTGGAAATTTTATCTCTGTTAAATAAATATAGATAGGTTAAATTATTTTTCGGGGTGCAAGTTATTCTCTGTAGCAATAAATTGTAATAATTCTTATAAAAATTCGAACTAAATATAAATTCTAAGTACAAAGTTGTTCTCTATCTTAACATAAGAATTTTCATCAACCTAAAAGAAAGTAGAACTTTTTTCCCTTAAAATTTCATAAAAAAAACAGCATATTGTTGACTGATAAAAAATATATCTATAAAACCATTAAAGTAATTTACATTTTTCGATTTTTAAAATTTATTTTATCTTTTGAAAGCGATTCTATACATTTACCTTTCAAAAATCGTTTTAGAATTTTTAGTTTTATTTAATCTTTTGAAAACGATTCTATATATTCACGTTTCAAAAGTCGTTTTAGAATTTTTAGTTTCTTTTTTTAAATAAAATTAATAAACTATTTTCCAGGTTACAAATTACTCTGAAACAGTTCACTGTATGCATATCTCTTGTCAAATAAATGCAAAATTTCCCTCTGGCTTAGCATTAGGATTCATCAGCATATCAGAACTTTTTTTCTTACAAATTTTTTGAAAAATATTTTCATTTTTTTCACTAAAAAAATTTACGCTTTTAAAAAAAGACAGTAATATTATTTTAAAATTCTGTTCAGTATTATCAAATGCTACTCATGAAAAAAATATTTCTTGAAAAACATCAAAGTAATTGAACTGCTTAACGCGTTGTGAATTCTAAATTCAGAATCTCTAGTGCAGATGTCGATTCTCATTATGATAAAAATCTTAGCGGCAGGATCTTTGCTCTTTTTCACAAGAGCAATTATCGCTTATGATTTGAATTTCAGATTTATACACTACATAGGCATGCTGAATAATTTTCAAGCATTTCATTTATTTTAGATTAACTGAAACTAAAGAGGGCAATGCTCACGATACGATAGGAATCATAAAGACGTCTTGATGAAATTCGTTTAGATTTTTTAGTTGTTGTAATGTTGCTTTTTAATGGAAGATATATATTAGCATATGTAAAAAAGACGAAAGAAATAGCTTATAGTATTGGGCAATAAAATAAAATAAACGTTTCATGTTCAGAAATATCATAAGTTTGTTTCGGAAATGAGTGAAACAACTTAATAATCCAATGTTTTAAGTATTTTTCCAACCAATATTAAAAACGGAGAAAAAAAAACCCTAATTTATGTTTCCAATAAACTATCATATTTCCTAAATAATTTATCCGTAATTACATACAGATATATTTTGTGTGTAGATTGTAAGTAATTTGCCTTATTTCGGTGTTAAAATTGCAAATTATAGCATATAAAAATTAGGTATTAACCTATTATTAATTTACTTTTCTTTTAATTATTATTATTTTTTTTGTAATAGCGCTTATTAGTTTAACCTAGAACCTAAGTTAGTATGCCTGATTTTAATTCAAATATACCGGAATTCTTTTGTCTTATCTTTTCATTTTTAAAAGTATTAAGTAATTCCGAAATTCTTTTCTTTTAGGTTATTTTTAGCCTGTATGATGGTGCATCAATACTTTGTTAAATACTGTGATAATGGTCGTTATATTCAGAATTGTATGAGTAACCTGTGTTTATCATATAAAACAATTCTTTTTCAAACTAAACAATTTTGCAAAAAAAAAAGTGTTTTAAAATAAAATAAACTATACCTCTAAAGAGTAAGTAAAGAGTGAATCACAATAATGCGAACATTCATTATCCTTTTTTTCTTTTTGATAGACCATCATAAACGCTCCATATCAAGTCTTGGGTTGAAGAAACTGCACCAATTGATGTTTGTCCTCTTGGATTGATTTTCAATGTTTGTCTGCAATGGATTGAATTAGTTTTTAATTCCAACCAATATACGTTTCTTAAAATTCTCTTTCTTCTTCGGTATTGAAATTACCACCAAGACAGTAATTTTCAATAAGTTAATCATAAAAAGAACATAAAAATACGTCGAATTAATATTATGTAAAAAGATTTAAAATGCGCGCAAGTGAAAGTAAAAAGAAAACACTCAGTATGTTAAACAAGAAGCTCCAAAATTATCGTCTGTTTTTTTCTTACTTTTACTTGATCTTGCTGCGTTGCTTTTTTTATATTTTTTATAAATGCTTAAGTTAGCCTGATTTTTATAACTCTCACAACTCTTTGTAACTGGCCGATGATGTAGTCGAAAAGTGTGTGGACGTGGAAAAAACTTAACCCTCCCCTTTAAATAAATAAATATAAAAAAATAACTAAAACAAATAAAATAAAAATAAATAAAACTTGAAGTTATGATGTTTTCGAAATAATTTCTTATTAAAAATACAATGATAATTTAATTAGGTACTTGAAAATTGAAAAGTTATAGTAAAAGTTGTTTTCATAAAATAATATTTTAAATTTGTAGAAATTTTCTACTTACACATCAATGAGAATTGTGCTGCATTTTTTTTTACACATGAGTCTTAGAACAGTTGTTTCCATCATCTAATAGAATATTGAATGATAGAAAATTCCGATTGCAGTAATAAGACTTACTAGAATCAATTTATTTTTTGTCAAAACAAAACACTGATAAATTTCTCCTTTTAAACCAATATTTTTGTGGTCCTTTACCGTACTTTATAATAAAGTAAAGAAAAACTGAAACTAAAAAAAAAGTATTACAGAAAGAATGTTATCGCCCCTCATTAGAATTTTTGTTAACAATTTATGAAGATAGACTATGTGGTAAAAACAAAGTAATTTGAATTGGGACCCCCTGCTTTGAGAGTACATTTATTGAAGTGAGCAATCAATGTTTACTATAGTCCTAGAAGTGGTTGTACTATAATGAATGCGAAAAGGAAATGATTTGACCTTATCAAAGAAAAAGAAGTCTAGAAAGTGATAAAGTGCGCAAAAAATTCATATAATGTGGTCGAGATGTATCAAATGTGCGTCAGAATAAACAGCAATGCCTGAATTGTTTGAAAGGAAAGCATACTTTTCCGTACTATTTCTTCATATCAAATATGTAATGATTCGACTCTAACAGTTCTACTTATATTGATTAATTAAATTTAAGAAAAAAAAGAACACAAAAGTCATGGCAACTTTGTTATCTATTAAAAATTTAAGAATGATTGTTATTTTAAATTAGAAATTCGCAGAATTAACGCATTTAAACTTGTCTTACGTAACCCCACTAGATTAAAATACCTTATTCGACTGCAATTGACTGGAACCTAAGTGATTCTAAAACCACCGTAGATCGTATATCTCTTAATAGAAATTATTTAAAATATTCCATACGTCAAATTGTGTAAAAAATGAAAAAAAAAATCTTTTAAAATATAATGATATATGTTACACTTAATAAAATCGTAAACTTAGTAGAGAGGGGAAGAAAAAAAATTTCGTCGAAGCTACGCGCCGAAACTTGTTCAGTTCAGGGAAAAGCTTGCCAAAAAAAGAAAAAGAGAGAATATGTTGGGATGGGGGATTGAAGAATGTAAAAAAATATAAGATGTGACCAGTGACCTAAGCTTACCTGCCCTTCAGAACGTGTTGTGGTTTGCATTAGTCACCTTTGATCAAGTTTCAACACGCCAAATATTCGATGAAGGCCACAGTATAAAAATTTGCTTTTTAATTTCTGAAGAATCTATTCTTTTATATATTAGAATGAACTTGTTAAGTTCTTTATTTTAGACTAAAATTTATAAAAAGTATTTCTTTTATTTACAAATGCATGTTTTTGTCTAGTTTAGATACCAAATGATTATAAAATATAGATAGAATATTTAAAAGTGTTATCTTAGTATTAAAATTCATATATAGATTTAGATTTAGTTTAGTAGATTTAGTTGTTAGCTTTTAAAATATAAACATAAAATATGACAGCAAAAATAAATCTATAGATTTAGATACTCATGAACTTAGAAAATAAAATCGAGGCTATGTATATTTTTCTGCTTATTTTTATTCATTGTTTTTGATTGCCATAATCATGCTTATCCTATGTTTTAAAATTTTTTTAATTTAAAAATTCCGGAAGATGTGTTGAGCGACTGCATTTGCTTGGATGGATGTTTATTTGTAACTAATTGTTATTTATTTCTGATTAAATTTAAGCAGGAGTAAATGATATATTTTAATAATATACATAAATAATATATTTTAGGCGAGGATTTTCCTCCTGATAAAATTTTGTGAATTTAATCAAGCGGAAAATCATTTGAAAGAAGTACTTTTATATTAAACGACTTGTTTTAACGAAAGTACTGTTTTATCCTCTTAAAACTTAAGATTTAACTTCTAGTAGAAATGATGATTTGCTTTGTGTTTCTAAGTAAAAAATAATTTAATTAACTAAAAAAAAAAAGAAATGAAAATTTTAATAAATAACAAATTAAAATATTAATTTAACACAACTTTGCTTTTTAAAAAAAAAAAAATAGTCTGTACAATATATAATTGGCTACTTGTAACTAAAGAAGAGGTAAAGTGATTATACCTAACTATGTGATTTAAATCATATTCAATTGAATACCTGTAAATGACGTCACGCGTGTGCTGAACTAAATTGGCTTTTGAATTGCCATAGAGCCCCTGAATTAGACTGACTATAGTATAGGAGCCTTAAATTGACAAATGCCACGATTTATCTTTGATGACGTCACTTGCAGGTATTTAATTGTATTTTGTACAAATAATAAAATATCAGTTATGGACAATTTTACTTTTAATGCAAAAAAAAAAAAGAAAAAAAAAAAAATTATCACATTTTTAAGAAACTTAAGCTGTACAATAAATTATAATTTGAGATTGATGGATTATGGTGAGGAATTTCTTTTACGGTGTTTTTTTTTATGATGTGTTAAAATTTGAATCAAAGAGGTATCAAGAGGTTAGGGAAGTTTCTAAAAAAATTACTACACTTTTTTATCCATTGAATTATTGTTTTAAATAAAAACTAACTTTTCCACCTAACTATTTCATTATTGTAATTAAAGTACTGATAAAAAAATGATGTCCTGCCCTATTTTAAAAGTTTTGATGATTCCCTAATTTGACAAAATTAGCATTGCTCTTTTAAACAATTCGTGGGACAGGTAAAGACTCATAAAACACTCTGAAAATCTAGACTCAAACAATTCAATTTATAGTGAGAAAAATATGTATTTTAGGCTTGAAATATCATTAAAATAGGTTTGAAGTGCCAGTTAAATGACTAAATTCCTTTTACATTTAACCATTAATTTGCCACCACTTTTTCTATTTTACTCAATTACTTACTTAACAACTCAATCGATGTAAATCACGGGTGCTTTTATCTGAAATATTTCCCTAGTGTTTATCAAAGAAACTATTCATAATGTACGAAAATATCCTTAATTTTATTTCTTCGTAGAAAAATGTGTCTTAAATATTAAAACTGATTTCAAAGAGTATAAATTCAAGAAATAGATTTCATACTCGCCGCTAATGGAATTCCAAGCATAACAATGCCAAATGTTATTTGTTGTAGGTACATATAAACAAATTGTATTACAAACAGGTGAAGTTAAACTTATATTGTTTTCTTAAAAATCTTACTAAGATTAATGTGTTTCTCGAGAACACTGTATTTAACAATTTACAACAGCAAATGATCCCACAAAGCGGGGAGATAAAAATCGTTTACGCCTAACTCGTGGAAAATGACATGTTTAAAAAGAACGAAAAGGTAAAAAGAAACAAAACAAAAAGAAAATTAGCAATACCGCATTCTATAGTCGGCGTCTGAGACGTCTGTGCGACGCCACTAGTAAACAAGTAAAAAAAGGGGGGCAAGAGCATCTATATCCGACAAGAAAAAAAAGTACAATTCCATTCCACCCCGCCCGAATTTAAATTTATGATCGCTTGGCGACATTCCTGAGAAATATGGCCGCCAACGTCGAAACCTCTGCAACCATACACACATCCTTCTGTGAAAGAAACAGTTCGTTTAAAGATTGTGCCGTGTATGGAAGTAGGCATAGGAGTAACCTAGTAACTTGCAAAACATCTGATAGGGTCTCCACACAAATCATTGGAAACAAATGATTTGTTACTAGGTGTTTGTTAAATGTGTTTGAATTCTGTTTTCCTTTCGGAATAAATCGGTTAACTAATCATGGCTCCTGGATTTAGTGTAGTAGTGTGTTTTGTGCTGGGATTCATTTTCTTTTGCTGTAATGTTACCGCATCTTCTCTCAACAGATCCACGGAGAGTTCCAAAGTTGTGACCGAACTCAGTGATTATGTTTTCAGTAATAGTTCCTGTCATGAGATTAAGAAAACGTTTGTGGATAATAAAATCGGTACTCTGAAGGATACCACAGATATGTCACACGAAGGTAAGGGTCATCTTTTTTAAGTACGCTTTATGCTATGTAAATGTCATGTAACTTCTCATTAGTCTTATGTCAAGGTAATGTTTCCCGCTTCCTATTATGGTCATATTGAATCATGCCACATGTTTAATAATTGTGAGTTGTTTAGTCAATGTTTGTGAGTAGGATCTTGGTTCACTTAATTAATGTAAGGGTTATGCTAATATTATGTCATGTGACTAATATAATAAATGAATGAAGGTAGTGATCTTTTATATTTTTTATCATGGTTAAATTTATTTATATGAAAAATTTGACTTATGATTATGAATAGTTGGGTCTTGGCCATTATTAAAATAAAGTTTGGGGAAAGGTCATGTTTCTATTATGTCACGTAACGAATTTAATCATTTGAGTGTTTTGTCACGGTGATGTTTTCAATTTAGTCAATATACTTTTCTTATAATTATGAGTAGTTTAAATCCTAGTTAACATTTTGTTTTAGAATAGGATCATGGTTCGATTACCTAATGTCAGGGTCATGCTTTATTTAGTAATACTATTAATATTATAGTTTTGTTATCAACAACGAGTTATTATTATGCCTATGCGTTTGAAATGAATCACATTGAAATAATTCTCTAAAATTAGAATTTTAAAACTGTTTCTAAAAAATCTATTTTCTCTTTGTTTGATTTGTTTCGTAACATAAAATTTTAAATAAATCACGCTTGTTGTCTGTTGTCAACATTTTCTACCACCAAAAAATATACTTGATTTCAAATTTAGTCATCTAATGGTGAGGTAACTTTTGTTATTCTATTCTATTCATTATTCTATATTTCTTATTATTCTATTGTAAAAACCTATATCTTATGTATTATAAACTAGATTTTTGAAATATATTTTCTTTTGATAGATATTTAGTGTAATATAAGAATATTAACAACGATAATATAGTGATCAATATCGCGACGAAAGATAAATATTGATTACGATAATGCCGTGAGTGTTGTTGCTAATAATAATATCGAGCATTATCGATGTTTATTGATTACAATAACATATTGAGCTATGATGAATTTAATTTCTTTAAAAATAACATTTTGCCAATGTAAATTAGTTAAAATGTAAAATTTTTATAAATATCATAAATGAGCGATATTTTCAGACGATATATTTATTGTGTTATTGAAATTTTGTGCGGCTCTAAAATTCTATTTATTCCATCTTTTTACTGGCAAGAAAATAATATACATATTTAGTGTTGTGTGTGGCTGTATTTAATTATATATATTTTTACTTGATTATATATTTTATATAATAGGCTTAATCTTTAAATAGTGTTAATGTTTGAAAGTAAATTTAGTTCATGTTTCAAATATTTGCATTTGTGTTTTACATAACAAGGGATTCAATCGAAAACAAAAATATGGTATTGTTTTAGTTTGCATGCTGGCGGTATTATTCTCAGAAGAATTTTTTTTCCTTGTATTTTTTACCCACTGAGCTTCACGCAATTCTGTATTTTTTTTATTTTTATTATTATTAATGGATTATGACTTATGTATTAAGGGCATGAGTTTAGACAAACTCTAATATATTAAGTTTGGATATACTCTAATATATTCTTAATTTCATCATAATTCAGTTTTATGTCAATATTAACAAAAAAAAGACCAATTTAAAAAAAAAAAAATTTTTTTAAATCTCTCTTTTTTTTTTTTTTACGTCACTTGTTATACATGTCTAAACAGAAGAATAAGTCGTTAAAAAAATAAAATCCTCTAAAAGCTATGAAACATAAGTAATTTTTTTTCTTTCATATTCTTATTAAGTATACAAGGCACTAATATTATATCATTTTTATCATTCCATGTCCAAAAAGTTTTATCTATTTAGTATTATCTTATTAACGATACTAAGTGTACAATATCAATTTTATATCCGTAAAAATGATGATAAAATTCTGCACCGGGGACTAAGTTATATTTACATCGGCTTCCAAAGCTAGACAAGTCTGCCTCCTTCTGAAGTTAGTTTCCTTCTAAGGCAGACGGAAGTAATTGATGAAATAAGGAAAAACGTTTAAAAAATTGGTGAAACTTGTTTAATTGGATTCTCATTTTTTTTCCACACCCACACACGTAGGTATAGCTTAACGATTTTAAATAGTGTGTAGTTTTGTTTTTATTTTTTAGTACTTCGGCGCAGAGTCGTCGTTAGACTTACAAAAATTTCATTAAAACATTTTGCTTAACCTTTTATAAATTTTTGCTGGTAATGTTTTTTTTGTGAAGTTCCCTGGAACAGATCACTTAGGATTACGTTATGTTTACCTTATTTATTGAAATTCGATATTTTTTTGTGAATTTTTTTTTTTTTTTTGGAATATCATTTCTAAGAACTAGCGATAAAAATGTTTTGCTACTAACATATTACTAACTATCATTTTAAGTTTTATTTTGAAAATATGGTATTTTTTAAGGTGATATCTAAATCAGAGTCTGTGGCATAGAAGTGAGGAGTTATCAGTGAATAAGCCTTACTAAATGAATCATGTAAACATGTTTAATTGCATTTTGTTTTCTAATGTTACCAATTTGATTTATGATTAGAAGCAGGTATTGTTGATTTAAATCACAATTTTAGTTGAATGATTATTTTTTTAAAAAAAATCATTGATTTAAGTCAAATGTTTTTCTTAGTTTTAAAATTTACTGTAAGTTTTGTTGTGTTTGTTTACATTAACAAATTTACAAAAGTATGTAGTGTGATATAAATTAACAGCTTTTGAAATGACTTTTTAAAAAAAATTTTTTTTTTTCTAACAAGGTTACAAATATTAGGAAATTTTTCTTTACATATTACCCAAAAAAATTTTTTTTTCATTTAACTTAGGGATTTTTAAGACTGTTTTTCAGTTGTGTCTGATACATTTCTGTTTCGTTTTCAACAAAGTTTAACCATACGTTTGCAAGCATTGAATTAACAATATCCCTCAATAAAATTTGAACAATTGGGAATGTATCAATCAACTTAAGGTATTCAACTTCTTCAACACATAGCAATTTCTTCAAGCACCAATAATTTCCTGGATACTGATAAATAACGTATACATTATCAGGGTCAGTCTAGGTTTTTCTGAGAGGTACCTATTTTGTGAAAATTTAGAGATAATTTGTGAAAAATTAAAAACTATATCGAAAAATCAACACAAAAATGTTGATTTCTAGTTTCTTAAGGGATACAAAAATAAAATTTTAAGAAAAAGTATTTTGTGAAACTATCGTTTTTCGTCAAGTTGAATTTGTGAAACTACCGTTTTTCCTAAAGTTGAATTTGTGAAGGTACCGCTAAACGGTAGTAAATTAGGAATGGGCAGACCCCTGATAATACTGATGCACATTTATCTTAGCTTATGCACATTTTATCTTAATATCTCATTATATTGTCAAAATATCTCCTTATATCTCATCATTTGATAATATATTTTTTTATAACTTAAAATTCGATGGTCGTGCAGTACTTTTTTAAAAATTGAAGCCTGCTTTATATGACACAAATATATTATATAGTTTTATTTTATAGAATTTTCATTTGTAGAATTTTATTCATTAAGCAGAATTTATAATATATTTTAAGCCGATATCAAGGGTAATTTAATTTGCTTTTAATATTATTGGTAGTCTTGCAATGTTTTGATTTTTAACTTAGAGACTCATCTGAATTCATTTTATACAAGTACGTTTTAACGATTTAAAAACAAAAATTTTTTTTTGGAAAGAGAAACAAAACTATCTGTTCTTTTTTATTGATCAATTAATTCGTTCTTTTTTTAGATTTTTATTATAACTAATATTTTATGGAGAGATTGATAAACGGTAAAGTTGGCTTCGTTTTATTTACAACTGCCTAATTAGAAATTAAAATCATGTGAGCATAATGAGAATTAGTGTGGATTAGTTATGTTAAGATTAAAGTGAAAGTAAAAACAGTTCTGTTAGATTAAACATACCCATGTTGATGCAACCACTCTCTGATTCATTAATTCCCCTAAAAATGGTTCTTCCATCAAGCTCGTTAATTGTGTCGGTATATGCCTTTCAGTTTAGAGCATGATTTCATGGTGTTCCTCAGTACTGATTTATTGATTCTTCACCTTTTTTTATTCACCTCGTGAGAAGAACGGGTGTTCAACTAGTGTTTAATAAAAATTCTGCTTCGAAGGGTTAATAACCAAGAAATTGACGAAAAAAACCCCTATGTTTCATGCATTGTTTAGGCTTAATCAATTGAAAACATTGATGATATTGTCAATAATGTTCTAAATTAATCTTGCTTCTGTAAAAGATTTAAAAATATAACAGTAAAAGGAAAAAAAAAAGATGTTTTAATGTAATTTAGTCTTATAAACGAATCAAATGTTGTGCAGTTTCTGCCCCCTTCTTATTTATGGCTGAATTCCCTCCCTCTTACATTATTATTCTTATAAAATCTTAACAGCTTCCGAGTTAGAATTGTGCTCCCGTCAGTTCAAGTTCAAATCTTTGTAGAAGACCTGGCGTAGACGTTTATTGATCGTTTCACTGTGAGGTGCGCAACGTGTACATTAGGTTTTAAATTGTGTTGGACTACATATGAATGGAGCTATGCCTATCCATTAAAACATTTAGACACTTTTGATCGCATTTCGAGATAGGTTTATACGTTTCAAGTGCTTTTTTTTATGTCTGTGTATTAATATAATAGGGAAAAAAAAAAGAAGTCTCTAGTGGAAAAATCAGTGGACTACTGCATTTTGCCAGTTTCTTCTGGTTTAATAAAAATTCTTCTGGTATTTGTGTATTTTAGAAAATTTCCTACAATTGAGTAAGTTTAGAAGAAAAAAAACCCCTATTGAAATACAGTTTTCACACAATTTATTGCTTTGCTTGAATATTTGAATAAGTATTACTAATACATAATGAAGCGAGCCTCCTCGTTTATAGTGATAATTTTTTTTCGTTAAAATTTTCGGTTTA